GTCTCAGTTTGTTTGCAAGGCTAACGAAGCTTCAAAGTCCAATTTGTTTGTATGTTTTAATTTTACACATGACATCTGAATGTCTTGGGGTGTGAACATCTCAAGCTTGCATTTAAAACACTTTGAAGTCTCAGTCTTGCAATTTCAAAAGTCAAAATGTCTTGAGCTCACATAAAGAAACGCTAGTCTCATCATCTTGCCAAGTCTCGCATTCACCATTCACCACCTCTAAATGACCACCCTCCCTCGTTAAAAGGGGGACAAACCTTGTCGATTTGGTACATTTTCATAACTCAGTGTCCTTGTGTACATTGCTGATTTAGGTCGATCTGAAAATCCCTAAAATGGAAAGATACAAGATGGCCAAGTTACGTTCAGGTTCTTTTGATTGTTAGTAGACATACATGGAATACAAAAAAATACACAATACAGTAAAACTAAATTGAGTTTGACTCACAGGGAAAGTGTTTGATGTCCTAGAAGTCCTTGTATTCGGTCTGAATTCTATTGAAAACAACAAGAAGTATTATTTATACATGTAAGCCAAAAGGGTTACCACGTTTTAAGTAATGTAACATACAACTTGCATCAAACACAAGAGACATGTTCTATTTAGATTTTCAAATTCCATGAAGAGAGCTGAAAATAAGTTATGTACATAGTAGGGTATTTTTTTTCAAGAAATTGATGGTGTTTGGTATTATTTTTATTAAACACTGTGTCAAGTATTTGATAGAGTTTGATACTATTTCCTCCAAAAAAAACAAACAAATACGCTACATCATTTATCAGTTTGAGAAACCTGTCACAAGATACAACAGGAGTTTAAAAACTGAGAGAAAACGATATGTTTTAATAATATCAAGTGGTCACAACCTCAGAACCAGAGTGTTTGGAGAGAAAAGATACTGTTTCAAACTTGATGGAGATGATGCTAACCAAATTGGCAGTGACGCAAGCTCCTCGGACAAATTACCGAGTTCTCTCACAAGACAAACCCATGAACTTACATCACTAGGACGCTTTAAAACAAAGCTATAGAAGATCTGGGTTACTAAGCCACATATAATTTGGTTCAAGTGTATAACAAACACAGTGTCACTTCAAAACTGAATGTAGCAGCTTTCAGTTGTGAGAATAGTTTCCTATGTTTCTTATGCATAAACATGTTTTGCTCATTGTCAACATCATCTTGAAGGTGACTCTTGCAAATAACAACAACATACTAAAAACTAAACGAGCTGAGTAGTTACAAGAATTATTACGCTTTAAATCAGTTGTAGGAAAAATAAAGAAAAGAAGAGGTAGAAAGAGAAAAAAAATATATAGATACAAATATAAAAAGAAATATAAGTAGTAACAGTACCAGCTCTAGACAGAGCATTGTTTAATAAAGAGCGATAGCAAATGACGTAATGATGCAAAAGGTGAATTACACTCACCAGTACATTGTCGTTTTAAGCTAGATACTGGTTCTTTGAGACTGCACGCTGGTTAGCAACAATTATAAGAAAATTAATGATTCAGTAATTATTATTCATTAGCCAAAGTAATCATCACAAAGGTCAGAATGTGATTAACTATTAACAAATAAATTAAAACAACAGTGTGTTAGTCACAGTACATAGACAAATGTTAATGGAACATAATTAACTCCAGTTACAAATTAATTACTTACAATTAATTTATTTATTTCACAAGTTAGATTCACAATTATAGAAATGTTAAGCTTCCAGCTATGTTTATTCATGATCATGCATCGTTCATCGCTGTCTAGTGTATGTTTCTTGTTACAAAAGAAAATATTGGTCAAGAAGAATTCTTTATGCTTCGGGGGTTTTAATCCTTATATAATATCAAATAAGGAAGCACATATGAAACTTCAATATGCAAAGCAAGATAGCATTTCGTCTCATTGACACTTGCCAGAAGGTATAACTAGTTAATTAATTTATTTATTTAACACAAGTTAAATCTAGTGCTAATAGGGTAGCATATTTTTTACAGTACTGCTGCAAAAGGCAAGGTCCAGCTGTGATTCAGCCTGTAAAGCTAGTGTCCCATCAAACTGGCACTTATCTCCAGTTTCTACAACAGAAAGTAACAGAGTGTTCTCCCTCCCCCCAGCATCAAATTTGCTATTACCCATTTATACATCCAGGTGTGAGAGAGGCACTGCGAGAGGAAAGTGCATTGCACTAAGACATAACACAATGATCTCAGCAGCAAGGACTGAAGCATGGACCAGTTGAAACAGAATACAGTGCACTAACCATTATGTCACTGCACCTTCCTACAGTACAACAAAACTCACCATAAATAAGACTTTCTATCTCTCTTGTCTTTGCTGAGGGGTGAGCAGCCAACAGATCTGTAACTGTCTTGTTGTTGCTGTCCACCACTGTGATGTCAGCCCCTAGAATTTGAAACACAAAAGCCCAGTGATCAAGCCATAACAAATTAACAAACGAAGTTAATATGTAAACAAAGTTCAATATGTAAACAATATGCAAACAAAGTCAAATTTTCAGCCTACATGTAAATGGACTTCCATGTGACTTAACTATATAAACATAACTGTATTGTCTAATAGAAACTAACACTACAACAGTACATTATAAGAGTACATTCACTGAAACTGGGACCACCCAGACCATGAAAACCAAATTATGACAGAACTGAAACAATAGAATACAACATTTTCAAATCCAGTGCATAAACTGTTTGGTACATTTGATTCACTGAATTTGAAAATGTTGGAATTTATTGTTTCAGTTCTGCCATCTGATTGGTTGTCATTGTCTGGGTGGCCCCAGTTTCAGTAAACACACTGTAAGTTTTGTCACCTGTTTGTGTTTTTTTTTTTTTTTTACTTTCCAGAAATTTACATTTGCAGTCAGATAATGAAATTAAATACATTCAAGTTCAGTAGCCCATCAGGCTGACACTTATCTATAGTTTCCATGACATAAAAAGACTATGAGTAAACACTCACCACACTGTAAGAGAAGATTGACGACATCCACTTTACCAAACAAGGCTGCTTCATGAAGAGCTGTTCCAGAGGTACACTGTAGATCATGATAATTTTAAATACAAGTTAATAATCAGCTTTGATTTTATCAGCTGCATTCACCATTTGTTCAATGTTTTAACCAAATGGTTAAAAAAAAAATAACTTGGTTGCACCTTTTGCAGAACCTGTTGTAACCAAAATACCAAATGTTTCCAAGTCAAATCACTGACAGAACCTCTTCTAAGCGACTGTGACTACTTTTAGAGCTAATGAATGACACTTGTCTTATTGTTTTTACACTCCCATAAGCGACACCTTCAAGACTATCCTATGACTTCCCAAGCAGAAATTGGAAAACCCAGCTGTCAGATTATCACAATGTCAATGTTGTCAGATTGGCACTACAACAGATCTATGAAATTTCACAGTAAGAGCTACCAGATGTCTTGCAACATGAATACAATACAGTACTGTTCTTTTTTTTTAACAAAATTCCCCATATACGTGGTGACTGGAAGTTTCTTAGATGGCTTTAGACAAACTTGTCTAGTGCATTGACAAGTCTCTATACTTATAGGCTTTTCTGTTCTATAATATAGAAGCTTAAAATTTCCACCCGCTGTGGCATAAACCCTCATGAGCCACCACCTCCCATAAGCAGCCATCTTAGTCTGACATTTTGGGTGGTTGCGTACAGGAGGTTCAACTATACTCAGCTACATACAGATTGCTGTCTCTAGCAAACATACTTACTGTTAAGTTAACACCCATTCCACAACTAAGGAAGTAAGATACCACATTCATGTGACCATTTCTGGCGGCAAGATGAAGAGGGGTGTGCGTCCTGACTACATTCACATCCTCAAGCAGATTGGGATGGTAGTTTAGCAGTTGCTTAACCTAAACAGAAAAAAAAACTCTTACCTTTCATATTCACCTTACCTCATGTATTTATCCCTGATTAATACCATTGTTGCAGTTTAAAATGTACTTTAGGCCAGAATGATTTCAAAATACTTCAATTTTTTGTCACAGGGGATCAGGGAATCTGGGGCTAACAACTTATAAATATTTTCAGACCAACAACATTAGAAAATTTGCAATGATTGTTTGCATGGCCTGGTGGAGATGAAGGCGGACTACTGTACAAAGTCAGGGATCAGATGTTCAAATTTGGTTGAGTGCAAAATATCAAAAGGGGAGGGGTTGATACGGGAACCTAGCAACGTAGGGTAGCGTTACAGACTGAGGGGGATGGGTAGTGCACTTGTTATTATTTTTAAGAACCCCAAAAGAGTGAAAAATAAAAACTGGTTGGAACCATTTAACGTAGATTGAAAGCATTCTGAAACACTAACACAATCCTCAAATCACAAGTACAGAAGCAAGAAGTGGTGCGGAGAAAAAAGTAACCTTCCAAATCAAACAAGGCCTAATGTATTTGATTCATTCTGTGATTGTTCAAGTAAAATTAACAAAGCTTTTTATTTACTAGTAGTAAAGATAATTCACTCACAGTTTCCATTCTGCCATACTGAGCTGCTAAGTCAAGAGGTGATTCTTGGCGACCATTACGAATGTAAGGGTCAGCATGATTCTACACAATGAACATATCAAAACAATACTGTTAAAGTGCTTATCACCAGCATCATCGCC